ATGCTTCCACCTGTAGGCTCGGGGGATAGTTATCTAATCATCATTCAATGTTCTTTGTAAATCTGTGGAGTGATGAGGCCCGAGCCTGGACGCCAAACTCAAACTGTATGCTGCTTATAATAAACATATTAAGAAACACGTGAGTTGTCTGACTGAACTACTTTATAAAGCACTTCCTGATAAACAGCACTGACACGGACGAATAGCTCGCCTGCCTGTACAGTAAGTGTGAGACTGTCTTTTCTAGATGAGAAATACTAAAATGGCCCAGTTTTGTGATCTTTGGCTCTAAACAAAGCTAACATCACTTCTCTCAGATTATTATAGTGCTGAGTTTTGATTCAGGATGTAAAGAAAAGCATCAAAGCTGGTTAGATATTATTATAAGGTCGTCCTAAATCCTGCTCATGTCAGATAAGTCAACATCAAATCTGCAGCCTTGTCATGTGTCAGCGCTGATTTCAGGAATAGCTCAAAGACAGGGGGCAGCTGCTTCCATAGACCTGTCACTCAGTATGCCACATGCAGATAATATATATATAACTGATATAAATATAATACCTGACCTTTATGTTCAAAACGTTACAAATGTATTTCCTGAAAGAAAACTCACCTTCACAGCGCAGTAATCAAAGAAGCCCGTATCGGAGAAAATGGCCACCAGCACCATCTGGAAGACACATTTGTTTAAAATAAATACATTCATTAAGTAAAACACCTATCATTATGCAATAAGATTATACAGTAGGCCACCCTAATATATGGTTTAAATTGTCCTCACAAAAAACAAAATGGTGCTCACATTCAGTCAGAAAGATGACCCCAATTGTAAGGACTTTAAAGGTCCCCTATTATACTGTTTTTCATCAATATATTATAGGTTTCAGATATATACAAAACATGTCTCTGAAGTGTTTGGCTCGAAATCTAGGAGGAGAGTCAGGTGATAAGGTGGGGGGGGACACACACACACATGTTGATGTATAAAATACATTAAAAAGTGGATTTTGCATAATAGGTGACCTTTAAGATATTGTTTTCAATGGGGTTTTTCTAGAAAGATATAGTATGAGGGCAATACTGTGGCGCTGATCTTGTATTTATAAACATAGATTATCTCGAGAACATGACACCCGAAATACAAGATGGCGCCGCGGACGTGAACAACAACGCGATGTCGGAGCTCCGTAAAAACAAAGCTGTCTGAAGGTCTGTTTGACACGATTCTCGATTTTTTGTTGTTGTTATTATGCAGTTTTTGATGAACAGAAATATTGTATTCTGGCATCACTTTAAAACGTTACGGGGAAAATCTGCATTTTGGTATGAGGGTGCAGTCGAAAGTAAGAGGGTGCAAAGCCCTTGCTACCCGGTTTAGACAAAACCCTGATACTTGCACTATCATTCCGAAGAGAAGCATTGAAATCTAATGGCCATTACTGTAGGAGAAAAGCTTTTTTATTTTCAAATTGCAATCAAAAGTTGTATCTAAAACGGCTTTAGAAAAAGCACTTTCGATGAGTAAATTAGTGATGTTACGTTCGCGAACTATCCGATTATTTTGAACGGCTCTTTGGTACGAACGAAGGGAACCGAGTCCTACTTGGCGAGAGCTGTTCTTTTTTTCGTTGGTTCCCTGCCTGCTATAAATCCACTCGCCTTTAAAGGAACTTGCTTTCCTGAATGCAAACTTGCCGTAGATGATGGCACAACGCATGCTGCTCGAGTAGTTGTTTGGCTGAGAGATGTAGGAAGTTATACATTTTCTGTGAGTAAAAGTAGATTTCTGGCAATACAGTCAATCATTATCCTGGTGATTATTTCGCAGATAAACCTATCAACCCCGCCCCCTTGAAAAAACAAAACGTCTCTTTTGAACGGCTCTCGGAAAGGAAAGGAGCCATAAGATCCGGCTCCCTTCAAAGATCCGTAATTCCCATCACTAGAGTAAATAAATGAACTATATAATTGAACTTTAAAGGCTAACCATGCCGAATAGAAGAGCCAGCGTCTCGTAGTCGATCCACTCCATCACCGTCACCAGACTGGGCCGCTGTTTGACAAATAAACAAATCATTCTATTCATTTACAATAACCAATAACTTTTTTTACAGTACTAAACTTCCCTAAATATTTTGGTAAACGTATCTGAAGCTGACATTTGACTTGCAGGAAAAGCACAGGTGGAAATTATGAAGATGGCCTTGCTCACACACAGTGAACGTAGCTAGCTAACTTACTACTACTAAACTATAACTTTCTGGCTAATTTCAAGACGTTGTTATTTGTTTTCTAAAAATGAAGGCAGATTGACAACTCATACTTTGACACATTGTACTTATTGTTAATTGAAATTGTAAATGTAAGAGTCTCCATTAGGAACAAAGCTAACAACAAGCTAACAGATGAGAGTTAGCAGACTTAGCATTACGATTTAACAAGTGGAGAAAGACACCTAATAAATACAAAATGATCCAAATTGTGCAGAATATACAGAAACATAGATACATTAGAAGAATAAACTGTTTGGATTTAAGCTTAACACTTATTTTTATAGCTTAAAGATCAAAAAGAGACTTACATCCCCGATGACTGCTAGAGCAGCTAATGCTGCTAAAGATCCCAACATGGCCGCCAGAGTACGATGAACGACCTGGAACATAAACAAATATTCACCATTAACACTTTATTTAAGGCCTCTGAATCAAACAAGGCGAAAATGGATAAAAGTTAACAAGTAACAACCACTATCTCTTGACATCATTCGCATACAGTTCAAATACATGCGCTAACTGAAGTATTATTTGAGTTATTTGAAGTATTAAAGTAACGTGCAGTTAGCGCATGTATTTGAACTGTATGCGAATGATGTCAAGAGATAGTGGTTGTTACTTGNGTGTGCCTTGGCAGTCTCAGGGGCTTCTCTCTAGGGTCTATAGATGAGTCTTCTTTTATTTTATTTAACAATTTTTTGTCCATTTCATGTTGTTTTCTCAGGCACGGCTTCAGCGTATTAAATATCCTGAGAGGAAAAACGAATTCTGCAAACCTCACAGAGAGGTCTCCGCTGCTGAGATTCTCCCAAGACGAAAGGTGAGTCTTTATTCACGTTTTACATTATAGTCCTACGGAGGCCTAAAGGTGCCAATATTAACAAATAAATCAAATAATTTAATTAATAAATACTCAAAGATGCTTTAAAATAAAAAATAAATGAGACATTGCGGAATAAATAATAATACCTCCAGTATATAACTCTTCCTTTATTTATTTTGTATTATTTTAAATGATTAGTTTAAATGTAACAGGAATATTATTATGCCTTCTTTTATAGGCCTGCTGTTTCAATGTGACTCTTATTTTATCTAACGTTTTTATTAGTTATTTTGTAACTTAAAGGAGGGTAATGTAAGTTTGAGAAACCAGCTCGAGATACACTTCTTGTTATATTCCATGGAATGCTCTTAACATCCCGATAGCAATGAATAACTGAAGTGCTTTGACAAAAAATCCATAAAAAAATTTCATCAGTGGAAGCCGTGGCGCTGTAAAAAGCACGACCAATCATCTGAGCCGGCCCGGCTAAAGTAACTGGATGGCCTACCTGCCTGTCAGCCTTCCATCTGTGCACAAACTTATCTCGTGCCCTATTTGGTCATGTGCGCGTTCGTGTGTTGGAGGAGGGGCTCTGTGATGAAGTGGCAGATTTTTTCCGGTTGTGTATTTTCTCGAGCTAGTTTCTCCAAAATTACCTACCCCACCTTTAATAATAATGATGATGAAACAACTACAATAAGTAAAATAAAATTGGTATTATCGTTATTATCGTAGATTTTATTATCTAATTACATACTTTACAAGCTTACGCCCAAATTGCTGAATTACTGAAGCAGATTTATGGGAACAAAAGCCCTTTTTTTTTTTAATACTCCATGTTAGGTAGAAATGTCACATCATTGTACAAGCCTTTTAACATTGTTTCAGTTAGTGGGTTACAACTCATGTAATGAAAAGCTGATTACAGGATGCTCGTTGCTGCTCAGAAACATTTTTCAATTCAGTCCCTCACATCCACAGCTGGTGCCTTTAATATTGAAGTTATCCCTCTGTGAAGCTGCAGAGCTGCATGTCCACAGGCCTGACGGGGTTGTTATTGTTTTCCAGCATGACCTACATGACCCTGCACGACCCGGGCTTCGTGGGGGAGGAGGCGCCGTGGGACGGGGGCTCTCCAGACCTGGATAGGAGGTACCGACTGGGCAGCGAGGTCACCAACCTCTCCTTATCCCGCTCCAGCTCCTCGGAGAAGAGCGTCCCGCTGGAGAACCTCAACCTCAACTTCAAACTCATCAGCAACGTGAAGTGAGGACGCAGGAAAACATGACTTTTCACTCTTTTTCAACCATTAAGTGTGAATTTAACTTGTGATGAGTCTTCTTTTGAATCAGAATCTCAATTCCTTTATGTCCCACAGGGGGATATTGTTACAGCACAGTATAGATGGAGATGACTATTAGATAAAAAGGCATGCACATAGTATTTAAAATAAAATAAAAATAGAAAACAAAAATTATAACAATTTACAGTTGGGATTCTTTTTCCTGTGTATTATTTGAATATCGTTTAGATCGTAAAATGGTAAAATAACTGTACTTTTATAATGCTCTATCAGGTATTTCCGACCCCTCAAAGCCCTTTACAAACTATATGTCATTAACCGATTCACACCTCATTCAAATTGCAAAATCAAATTCAAATGTGTGGGAAATAATAACTTTAAAATATATATTTTTTTCGTCACTGGTCATCATTTTGAGCCACCATTGTTCTCTTTCATTATATTGACTTTCTCCTTTATTTTGTTTTCCAGATGCTGCTTCAAAATCTCCAAAATTGCCACCATGTTTACTATAGTCGTCCTCTGCAGTGTAAGTAAAAACTGTAGATTGTAATATATACACATTTCTACAAATTGAAGTTGTCATAAATTGAACAATGTACACATCTTCTTATGATGATACACATATTCGTTTTGAAAATGTATTTTATCCTCTAATGGCACATTTTTACTTTGATTTTAATACATATTAGTAAGAGTTGTAGTAGTAGAAGTAGTTGTATTAGTAGTAGAAGTTATATTGGTAGTATAGTTGTAGTAGTAGTGGTAGTAGTAGTATTTGTATTAGTAGTTGTAGTAGTAGAAGTAGTTGTATTAGTATTAGAAGTTATAGTAGTAGTAGTATTTGTATTAGTAGTAGTATTTGTATTAGTAGTAGTAATGGTAGTAGTAGTAGTAGTATTTGTATTTGTATTAGTAGTAGTAGTGGTAGTAGTAGTATTTGTATTAGTAGTAGTAGTCGTTGTATTAGTAGTAGTAGTGGTAGTAGTATTTTTTTTAGTGGTAGTAGTGGTAGTTGTTGTATTAGTAAGAGTTGTAGTAGTAAAAGTAGTTGTAGTAGTAGTAGTATTTGGTAGTAGTAGTTGTAGTAGTAGTAGTAGTAGTATTTGTATTAGTAAGAGTTGTTGTAGTAGTAGTAGTAGTAGTAGTAGTAGTAGTAGTAGTATTTGTATTAGTAAGAGTTGTAGTAGTAAAAGTAGTTGTAGTAGTAGTAGTAGTAGTAGTAGTTGTATTAGTAAGAGTTGTAGTAGTAAAAGTAGTTGTAGTAGTATTTGGTAGTAGTAGTTGTTGTAGTAGTAGTAGTATTTGGTAGTAGTAGTATTTGTAGTAGTAGTTGTTGTAGTAGTAGTAGTAGTATTTGTATTAGTAGTTGTATTAGTAAGAGTTGTAGTAGTAGTAGTATTTGTATTAGTAGTTGTATTAGTAAGAGTTGTAGTAGTAAAAGTAGTTGTATTAGTATTTGGTATAATTAAGTATTTTTATTAGTAGTAGTAAAAGTAGTTGTAGTAGTATTTGGTATAATTAAGTATTTTTTTAGCCTTATTGTTTCTTTTATGTATTATTATTTTAATTATTTGAACAAAAATATTTAAATTTTGATTCTGAGAATAAAACAAAAGCATCATTTAGTAAAAAGGTTGTGATAATAAGAAATCTACAACTTTTACCCTCCTATTTGACTTACTACAGCATTTATGTTCAGAGCGTAACAGGAGTAGATAATAACAACAACATCCTGCTGATTTCCCCAGCTGTTCTTCAGCATGTATCCGGACAGAGATAACCCCGTGAGGATGTTGGCCGTCTCCCCCTCAGAAAGCTTCTGTATCCTTTCATACTGAAATGTTGTTTTAAATAATGTAAATACAAGATGCAGGTCTTAAATCCACACTGAGAGGTGGGACGTGATGCAGCTGCGTTTTACTTTGAGGGACACAGGTGAAAATACTTTGACAGATTTTTTTTTTAAAAAGGTGTTTAATTTACAAGTGTTCTTCACTCAGATGTAATCAGTGTGAATGATGCAGGAGGAGAACAGGTGGGAAAGTTCTCCCACTGTTTTAATATTTACTTCAATTTATGACCCTTATGTCTTCATTGTATTTTGAAAGAAGAAACCTAAACAGTTTTATCGATTTTCAGGAATGATTTAAAAAGGAATTAGAGCTGTTGATGTCTTTTTTTGGTTGTTTTGGTTTTATCATTATGGTCAGTTTTTGCCCATTGCTGTGAGATTTTGCGTATCTGTAAAGTGATTTATACTCGCTTTGTTTATCTGTATTTGTGTTTATTTATATAGTCGTTTTATGCCTCTTTGAGTGTCCTTGTGTAGGCCCATCTTTACGCAAACACACATCAGAACCTACAGATTATTCCCTTAACGTCCGTGTCCTGCAGCCATGAACCTGACAGATTTCCGGGACAACGCCCTGCTGAAGCTGCAGGTCGGGGGGGCGTTTTCAGTTGGGAAGGTGGACATCAACACCCAGGACTACATCCTGATCCAGGTGGAGCAGACGGAGGGGGGACGCAGGAGGAGGGCGCAGCAGGTGAATTTCTGTCTGTGAGAAACATCATTGTCTGTGAAGTGTTTACCTGTGAGTTATTAATCTGCTGTTTGTGAACAGGTGATTCACAACTGGACCATTCCTCTGCACAGTGATCGCAGCGACCAGATACTGCTCACCAAAACCTTTGAGATTATCAGCAGGTACTTATAAAGACTTTGACACGTTAGAATAGAGCTTCAACACATCAGTTTGTCAACATGCTCCCTTGACACAGCTCCACAAGGACTTTTGATGAATATTTCTACATTCAAAACAGAATCTAATGTGGTCCATAGGGCTCAGATGAGGGTGTTGCACTTTTCCTTGTACATGTGATGTTTCGGTGTTGTTGTTGTTTTGTTTCTTTCCGTTAACTGTCAAGTGGGAACTAAGTATTTTTTGTAGTAAGTTTTTGTGTTTCTCTTATTATTCTATGATACTGTTACTTTTGGCTGTGAATAAGAAAATATGAAGGACAGACCATCTATTTGTATTTATTTAGTTTTCTTTCCGAAAGGGGCAGGTCATATAAGATTATTTTCTTCTCCCTGCTCCTTTTCGGTCAATGATGTGTTTATAGAGACATGTGTGGTAAATAATTGTTAAACATTAAGTTGTGCATACCATGAACAGAACAAATAAAACTGAAATGAAATAGCATCTGCCTAAAATAAAAACATGTGTCCTGCACAGCGACCCCATCGTGGT